TTCGAAGATGGCAGACACAACATCGGAAACGGTAAGACCGATCGCCCAATTCGTATAGTTCTTACCAGCGATTACTTTATAAGCCGCATTAACAACGCTCTTGTGAACATTCGACCATACCATCGGATCTTTGTCAGTACCTATGGGCGGCAGCAAGTCCTTTAGTAGAGTTCCGCCCACACTGACGGAGGACCAGATTGGCACCGAAGTGTCTCCRTGCTCYCCCAACACCATTCCCTGCACCGAGCTCGTTGACACCCGCAATAGCTTTCCTATAAACATGCGGAATCGCGCTGTATCCAAGTGGCATCCAGTGCTGAAGCAGCGCTCATAGGGAAGGTTGGTGATCTTGCGGGCAACCCAAGCCATCACATCTACGGGACTTGACACAACGATAAAGACAGCCTTTGGACTCTGCTTGAGTAATTCAGGAACGATTTGCTTGATCATGTCAGCCGATCTGAGGAGCTGATCCTGGCATGATTCGTTTGGTTTACTGCTCGGTCGAGCCGCAATTACTACCACGCGAGAATTTTTGGTACACTCAATGGTGCTGCTGTTGTCAATGTTGCAGTTCTGAAGGAAAAGCGATGCGTGTCGGAGGTCGTTGCGCTGAGCAGAACTTAAGTCGTTCTTTACATCATAGATGGCTATGTTATTCGTGACGCGTTTTGTTAGCAGGGCAAAGGCACAGCCCATGCCCACGGGTCCAGCACCAACAATGGATACCTTGTTGCCGGCCTGAAAGTCTTGCTTGCAATTTGTTCTGTAAAGAGTGGATCGAAACAGAATAGCTTTTGCTGTGCGCGCCTCATTTTCCTTACGTTCCTTTTCTTCTTGCTCTCGCATTTTTTTCATTGCGCATTTTTGCCGAATAGCGTCTTCTTGCTTTTTTCCGGTAGCATCACGAATTTTTCTAATTGCRCATTTTTTCTTAATAACATCTTGTTCTTCTAATTTTTTAAGAAAGTCGCACTTTGCCTTAGAAGTTTCTTCCTTCTTTTCTTTTTCCCGGGCCTCTCTCTGTTTTTTATCCCCCTCGCACTTTTTTCTTTGAGCTTCTTCTTTCTCTTTCTTTGTAAGTGCCTCTTGCATGTTTTCCATTGCGCACTTTGCTTTAATGGCGTCTTCTTCTTGCTTTTTCTTAAGAGCTTGGCACCTTTCTTCTTCCTTTCGTTTTTTTTCCTCTGCTTCTTTCCGTTTCTTCTCCTCCTCGCACTTTCGCTGTGCTTCTTCTTTCTCCTTTTTTGCAATTGCCTCTTGAATTTTTTTC